GCGCGGCGGCTTTCGGCGCCTCTGCCTTCCCAGGGACTCTTTGCTCCTAAGCTTAGTTGCCTGCGGTCGACGTGCTGTGAACTGCGCGGTTTTTATTTTAAAAGATGGGCTCTCGCCGTGTCGGCCAGGCTGGAGTGCAGTGGCGCCATCTCGGCTCACGGCAGCCTGGACCTCCCGGGCTCAAGCGATCCTCCCGCCTCAGCCTCCCGGGTAGCGGGGACCACAGGCGCGCGCCACCGCGCCCGGCCCACGCTGCGTGTCTTGAAGTGCGGGGTATGGTGATGACTGACGTGTAAACCCGCGCGAAACCGTGGTCTCGACCCCAAAAGTTTCCTCCAGTTCTTTTGTAGTCCATGTGTCATTTTTGTGGATGTTTCGGGTGTTGTGTTTTGTTTAATGACTGTTCGCGCTTTCAGGGGTTTTATAGCGTATATTTTAAAGTTTTCAAGTGAAGCATTGACCTTAATCCTAGGCCACCCAGTCCACAAATTTTATAAATGCTTGCTTTGAAGTCTCCACTTTCTTCCCGAGTTCTTTTTTCCTAAAGCATTTTTCATCCCAGCTTGTCTGCAGATTGCTGTTCTTTCTCAGAGAAATTCCTCTGACTTCCGCAGAAGAGCCAAGCCTGTCTAGAGATTTAGTAAAGTAAAACTCAAAGTGAGACTTGAGTCCAGGAGAAATTCAGCCCAAACTATATTGTCACGTAGAGGGAAAGCCTGATCTCACTTGTATTTTGTGTGTTTCTCTTTTTTTCTAGAAAGATCAACGGAAATCGGCAAACTTCTGAGTTCCTACTTGGAAAAGAAAAGTGACGTGGAGGATCACGCGGTGCACCTGCTTTTTTCTGCAAATCGCTGGGAACAAGTGTAAAAACCATTGTACATTGCTGCCCCTACCCCGGCCACTTTCCTTCCTCCTGAGATACAGTGAATGCCGCAGCTGATTCTGAATGACAATGACAGTCATGCTAGGGCCTCAGGTTCTTTTATTTAGCAGTCCTGTGATCAGAGGTGGTGAAGCCCCTAGTTCCCAAAGGGCACTAACGAATGCTGTTTCTTCCTCCTGCTCCCCACACCCCATAACTAATAGACTTAAGTTTTTCGGATTTTTTTAGACGGAGTTTCACTCTGTCACCAGGCAGAGGTGCGATCTCGGCTCACTGCAATCTCTGCCTCTCGGGTTCAGGGGATTCTCCTGCCTCAGCCTCCCGAATAGCTGGGACTACAGGCGCGTGCCACCACAGCCAGCTAATTTTTGTATTTTTAATTTATTTTATTTTTTAATTTAATTTTTGTATTTTTAGTAGAGACAGGGTTTCACGGTGTTGGCCAGGATGGTCTCTCTTGACCTTGTGATCTGCCTGCCTTGACCTCCTAAAGTTCTGGGATTACAGCAGGT